CGCTCTTCTCTTCTGCGACGTCTGTCCTCGCGTTTTTGCCGCTTCTTCTCCTTGCGCAATCTCTTTTCCTCTTTTCTTCTCCTCTTAGCTTCCTTCCTTTCCTCTTTTTCAGAATCAGAAATGTAATTATCATCTGAAGCTGCTTTTAGTCTTTCAGATCTTTTATGCTTTCTCCTTTCCTTATCTCCAATTTTGCACTTTACATTTTCCTCGGAATCCGAATCAATGCCACTACGGTCATTACCAATTTTTTCAACTGATGTGTGTGTAGAATCTAATCTAGAATCCTGATTGCTCTCCTTGGCATTGTTCGAACGAGAGCGGTTTTTCTCCTCAGATTTTCTACCTTCACCAGAATATAACGCCTGCTGCCTATCATCTGGTGGTGAGTCTCTATATGCTGCTGGGGACCTTTGTCGATCGGGAGTATCAGGGATTCTAATCCTCTCCCTGACAAGAATGTTTTATATCCTCAGAATAAATGAAAAAGATAGACTAGAAGAATCTAACTACCAACGAAAGACAACGAAGATCAACAATATGACAAATTGTAGGTTTCTTACTTCCTTTCTTCATTCACTTCTGGGCTATTGCAATGATCTTTCAGTTCTTTTTGTTTCCTTGCAGGACTAAAGCTAACATCCCGAGTCATTCGCCCCCTTGGTTGTCTCGAAGCATTCTCATGTGGACTAGATAACCATTAAAAGCAGAAAATAATATAAGGATAAATTAGAACATAGATGATATATGGTAGAACAGCTATAATATGAAGATAAGAACATTCAAAGATTCTAAGGAAAGATGTCCAGTCAAGACGAATACCTCCTTTCTGCACCATCACTTTTCCCTTCACCCGATGGTGATCTTGACCTTGCTGGAGATCTCTCTGGCGATGGTGATTGGGACAAAATTATGTTATGGGAATCATTTTGACTCCTTGATTCTCTCTGCAGTGACCTCAGAGAACTAGAGGACCTACGTGCAACAAAAGAATTTTTTCATGAGTCCAAGAACAGGGTTATTTGTGAAATAGCTAACGTTGATCAAAATGCCTTCGAGAAAGTAGTAAATGCAACCACAAAATGAAGCTGCCTACAGAAAGCAATAGTACAATCATGTGCCTATAAAAAGTGAGAGTATGTTCACAGTATCTCAAACTTCAAAAATAAGGTAACAACAGCTACACAACCCCCCTAAAACAACATAGTAGACATCCTTCTCCCCTCCATAAAATATAGCATACCCAATGAAGAACAGTTGAACAAATGTAATTGGTATGTTAAAAAAAAGAGTTAGGATGCTCCTAACCTCATTCTTTCATTGGGCAATTGCATGGAAGATCTTTTCCGGTGCTTTGGAGATTTCATCCTGATTGGTGAATGGGAACGGTGACGAACAGGAGAAGAACTCCGTTCTAAAGGTGAATGAGAGGGACTTCCAGGAGTTGATCTCCTCCCACTAGCAACAGGTGATCTGTGGCGTGCAGGGGATGCATACTCATGCTGCGATATTGATGAAGATCTTTGTGACCTGCGTTGTACAGGAGAGGGAAACCTGCGATGAATCGGAGTGGGTGACCTTCGCATTGGCAAGGGTGACATGCGACGGCGTATAGGTGAAGGAGATCTACGGCGTTGCACAGGTGAAGGTGACGTACTACGTTGCACAGGTGATGGCGACCGCCGGTGACGCACTGGCAATGGTGACCGGTGGCGACGAACAGGTGAGGGAGACCTTCGACGGCGTGAAGGAGACGGTGACCTTCGACGGCGAACAGGAGACGGCGATCTGCGGCGGCGAACAGGTGATGGTGATCTGCGACGGCGAACAGGTGATGGCGATCTGCGGCGCCGAATAGGTGACGGCGATCTGCGGCGGCGAACAACAGATGGCGATCTGCGGCGGCGAACAGGAGATGGTGATCTGCGGCGGCGAACAGGAGATGGCGATCTGCGGCGGCGAACAGGGGATGGCGATCTGCGGCGCCGAATAGGGGATGGTGATCTACGTTGATACAGAGAACGACGCCATGGAGGAGATGGTGATCGGGTTCTCCTCAATGCTCTTCCTCTAATAGGAGAGAGTGATTTTCTGGGTGAATGCCTCCGAATAGGTGGTGAAGAGGTTATTGAGCGACCTCGTACTTCTGGCGACCTGGACATACTCCTTGACCGGCCTCGTCTTTCACTAGACATTTATAATTAAATGCGATGTTATAGTCTTGAAGTACGAGAAATGTATTATATTAAGAGAATCGCCAAGATAAACTACAAAATCTACTATATGTTATGCTAGTCTTACATAAGTTAAAAAAGGAAAATTCTCAACAAAAAAATAAAAATATAATAGTAAGTCAGCTGCTACTGAAAAGTAGAAAAACATACTCTGAATAGCTTCTGGTATTAGACCTTGAAGGTGAGCCTCTGCTGAGAAAAAAAAAATTAATAAAGCTTAGTGGACTTGATGAATAACAAAACAAAAACAAACAAAAGCAATCTGATTAAGGGAATAAAAGAAATTTATAGATCTTTAATATCCACACCAGAAATTTATGGATCTTGCTCTTGTAATGTAATTTAAAAAACTGTTGTACGCATTGTAGCACTGTGTGTATTAACTCCGATGAATCAATCAATTGAAAATTTAATGATTCTACCACATGTTTTTTCTAAATAAATTTTTTTAAAGCTCAATGAATCATAATAATAAAACAAATCTACGCTGCCCAATTCTAGTAAAATCCAGAGTTCCTCATCTCATGAAGAAGAAAGCACAGATACAAGAAATTTTTCCAAAACACCACTGGAAGGTAAAACATATCTGTACCTGTCCCTAGCTCTCACACCATTTCTCTTATCAATTTCTTGCTCATCCTCAAGATGGTCGGTCGAAGCCCTCGGCAATGTGTGCTTTGAGTTCCCCTCCAAGGCAGCATTACTTGCTTTCGTTTCAACCCCTCCGTCCTACAGTAGTTTGAGGTAAAGGAATGAACCCAAATAATTGCAGAAGCTAGCTGAACGCATGAAAACACAAACGAAAGTTAAAACCAAAAAACTCAGCTCCAGAGAGTGTAACTCCAGCATGAACAAAATAATATTACCATTTCCTTCGATCTCTCTTCTTCGAGCTCTCTACTTTCCCTGTCTTTCTTCTTCTGAATTTCATTTGCTATCCGATCAGCCTCCTCCTGCCCAAGGATCCATGTTATGCATAAAACATAAAAATAACTTGCGTGAACACACCAGAAGTAACTACAAGACTAATTGAATGTTAACCTTCTTCTTCCTCGTTTCTTCTTGCTTAGCATCCAGAAACTGTTGAGGAACACCACTAGCATTCTTCTGGGCACTTAGTAGTAGAGTCCAAAGCTCTTTCATAAACTTTCCAGTATTCTTTTCCATAAATCCAGTAAGTGAAATTTGAACTTGCTTCCCATTCACTTCCTGCAACAACAAATAAACGCAGTTCTAATTTCTCTTCTTGAAGAATAGATTCACCTTATAGAACTTTAACTTGATATTCTAATACCGAGAAACTATACAGACTATGCCAGAAGAATATAAACAATCCTAGCCCAACTAGGTACCATAAAAGTGAGGTTTGACTATGGCGATTTTTCAATTCATATGGCAAGTAATGTTGTGCCTATCATATCAGCGAACCGTATGCAACCTTAATAGGGGAGTCAAGCACATAAATCTAGTTGAATGTAACATGCTAAACGATAAATTTCAATATAGTTCTCACTAGATAAAGCTGAAATAACAGTGAATTAGAATACCTTTCCATCCAAAAGACCATAAATGAAGTTGATAAGCACTTCATCTTCAAATCCGAGAAGTTCTGTCACCCTGTTAGCGATCCATGGTCGGACAACATTCATGCTCACCTTCGTCATGTCCACCTACGAATACATTACGCGTTACCGGCTGATGAAAAGCCCACAATTTTAACCCATTCTCTCAACTTAGCTATTACTCAAATACGGAAATAGTAATCAATTTCCGAAACATTAACCAATTACCGAAAACAAACAAAAACCCAGCTTCAAAATATATTGAAATAACCAAAAGAAGAAGAGAAGAAGAAGAAACGAACCAAATGCTCCAATTCAGGAGCAAATTTTTGCGATTTCAAAAGCTTCGCCTGCTTGTTCGAGAACCGCGTGTCCTGATCCGCCGACGTACCCTAAACGAACAGAATCCAAACATGTTACTCAACCCAACTTCCATTCATTATCCAAATTCTATTACAAGTATCGAAGAAAGCTCGTCAGTAATTCATTAGAAAAATAAACAAATAAACAAATATCTGAACAGTACACAAGCAATCGAGATTAAAATTGAGAAATCAAACACAGCAAGAGACGGAATTTTGAAACCCGACCAGAACTTACCCGGAAGAATCCGCCCGACATTTTTCTAGGGTTTTGTATTGGAAGCCAACTGAGTCGGTAGAAATGTCGAACGAAACGGGAGAAACTTAGCGAGCACTGGGGGAAAGAGAGGAATGGTTTTTCCTTTTTAGCTTAACTAGTGTTTACGCCATTGATTAAGCTCAGCTATGTCTTGCGATGGCTCTGAGGATGACCGAATCTCAGAACTCGAAGCCAAAACTCTAATGGAACCCTCAAGCGCCAACAGAGAGTACCCTTATAACGTGACTGGGGTTTGGTGCTGATTCTCCGTAACCTACATGACGTGTATTTACGAGTTTATCCTCTTTTGTAATGATCTATTGTCACATTAACTAAGGTACATTTCATTTTACTTACGGTAACAAATTTTTAAAAATTATCATATTTAATTTTTTTATTATAATAAAAAATTTTCACATAAAATTATATTTTAATTTAAATTAAAATTTTAAATTAATAAATTAAATAGGTCCTAATTTTTATCTTCTTTCATTCAACAACAACAAAAAAAATAAACAAAACAAAAACAAAAAACTAATTTATCTTCTTAAGTAATTTTTAAAGTGATCTTTTTATCTTAATTTTTTTAGGAAATATTTATTCTTTTTTTATTTTTTTAAGGAAAAAGATAAAAAAGAAGTTAATGATAAGGTCTCTGACTACTTAAAAAAAAGTCTCTAACAAGTATCATTTAATTCATAGATTTGAACATAAATATTTTCCTAAAAAATAACAAAAATTTAACTTTTTTTTAGAGAAAATACTATAGTTAAAATGTTTGAATTGTCATTCAAACTCGCAACACAAGACAAACTAATTCTTAGTGTGATTATTTAGGACTTGTTCTTTTGAGTAAAAAATTCAAAAAAATGCAACTCGAATTACAATTTTATTCGAGTTCATATTCTTTTAAGTTTAAACTCAAGTTTAAACTCGAGTTTATGACTAAAACTCGAGTTTAAGTTTCCCCTTCAACTCGAGTTCAGAAACTCGAACTCAAATTAATGAACAGTATTTTTTCTATTCTTAAAAATGCTATAACTTTTTCGTTTTAATTCTGATTGAGATGATTTTTTTTCTATGCGTTGACAACGAAAAGACAAATAAAACCCGACTCATATATCCTATTAAAATTTTTCATCAGCATTGAGTTTTTATTAAAATACTATCTAAATACAAATTTAAGTTTTGACTCACTCAAACACAAACTCAAAAAGATTCTTATCTCAAACCATAACTCAAATGTACACAACCAAACACAAACTCAAGTTACAAGTTCAACTCAAGTTATAACTCAAATTCAACTCAAAAATTATACTCAAGTTAAACTCTAAAAGAACAAACCTTTAGTTTTCGATTTAATTTTATAGATAAAATATCCCTTAACTTAAAAGTCGTAAACTTGGCGTTTATGGCATACATAAATAAGTTATGAGCACATGGAACATATAATTGAGATCTAGAACGAAATTACATAACCCTAAAACGCCATTTAAAAAATACCAAAACCAATTGCAACCACTGTTCTACTTATTATTTTAGTCCCCCACCACCATTATTTATTCAAACTATAAGTTGAAAACCCAAGATATCAACCAAACCCCTCTTGCCCATCGTAGTGGCGCCCACCCACCCCACAAAAGCCACCATGCACCACCCCATGACCCAACAACCCACCCCTCGCCACCTTAAGAGCACCTTGTGCCACCTGCTAGCCACCTTGTGAGCATCGCACAAGCCACTCGCGCCACACCTTAACCAAATAACCTACTCGATCCAACCCATGCTATCCCTACAATCCACCAAAATAAGCATTGTACGAGCCACTTTGTGCCACCACAAATCCCATGTGAGCGTACCTACCATCAGCTCCTTTATTATGACTCGGACTCTCAGTGACGGAGGCATGATTTTTATTCAGTAGGGACTTAAATATTTTTTAAAATATTTTGTTGAGACAAATTGAATGTTTTTAATTTTAGAGGGGTTATATTTAATTTAACGTAAATTTAAGTTGATTTGAGTAAAGATAAAATTGAATTTTTCTCAATTTTGTGGGGGCTAATTAAAGTATTTGAAGATTTGAAGGATTTCTTGTGGTTATTTTGTTAAAATAACAAGAACATTGGCAAAATTTTAAAAGAACAAAATATGTGAGTGGGGACTTGAGCCGAGATAACATGGCTCCGTGCCTGCGGACTCTATTTTCAGTTGGAGATGATGTTGTGTCCATTGTCCATAAATATGTGTTTTTATAATTATGCTTTACAAGAAATAACATCTCATAGCTAGTAAATATAATATTTTTTGTTTAAAAAAAATACTTTGAACATACGTGAAAAATAATTACTTTGGTGGATTAAGTGGGACAAAGAATATTTATTGAGAGAACATTTGATAAAATGCTATTTTAAAAGATTACATGAAAAAATGTTTAAGAGGTGACATGTTTGAGAAGAAATTTATAAGCTAAATTATAGACAAAATAATGTGAAACAATTAAAGTGTTCCTCTTTTGTGAGTTCTTGTGGTTTGATTTTTGGTTATGGATTGACTGAGATGGTCTTTCAACCTTGAAGTGATATTTAATTCAAACCATCTAAAATCACGTTTGGACATGTTGAACTTATTTACTACGGTAAAACCTTGGCTTTATTTCTGCTTTACTCGTAATTTTTACACAAATTAAACACCAATTTAGACTTTATTCCCTGTTTAGATTACATGTGTTTGACTAAAGTCGTATAACGTGTTATTTAACATATATATTTAGAGAGATAGGATTGTAAGAAAACAATTTGAACAGGAATATATTTGTAAAAAAATATTTTAACTGAGCAATTATAAAAAATAATTATAATTTAACATAGTAGAATCAAAATATATATGATATTATGTGAGAAATGTGAAAAAAGTGGAAATGAGAAGAAACACAAATGAATGACAAGTATGTAAATAAAAAATAATTGAAGACTAAAGAATAAAAAAAAAAAGCGAAAAAAAGGCGAAGGAAACAACGCTATATGTAGGAAATGAGAGCTATTTGCGACCTTTATAATAGTAAGATAAGGTAAGTTGAGATGAATTTTTAACATATTTACCATTAATCTCTAATATTTCAACGTGAATGATCACTTTATCAAATAACATGAGGTGGAGTGAGGTAAGACTCAGTCCTGTTTATTTTATTAATTTAATTCAATTCAACTCACAATGGAAGAGTTTAGATTGCTGTCTCTCTTTAGTTGTCCCAATTGCTATCCTCTCAATCACAATTTACCACATCCATATGAATTAACAGAGTTGTTAACGTTTTCCTGGTTCTTCTCTCTTAAAAAAAAAAAAAAATCCTTCAAACAAAAACTCCTCTTTGCTCTTTTGTCCTTTAGTTTATTTTTCACAAAGACTTCATTTCTGCATCTCTATCAAAAAGTCTAATCGATCTTTAAAAATTTAGGGTGCTTTGGTAGTTTCAAAAACATAAAAAAATATAATTTGAGTTATAACTTTATTTAAATTCATATTATTTTAAGTTTGAATTCGAGTTTGGGACTAAAACTTGAGTTCAAGTTTCTCCTTCAACTCGAGTTCAGAAACTCAAACTCAAATTAATGAACAATATTTTTTCTATTTTTAAAAATGCTATAATTTTTTCGTTTTAATTCTGATTGACAATGAAAAGACGAATAAAATCTCACCCATATACTCTATTAAAATTTTTCGTCACCATTGAGTTTTTATTAAAATGCTATCTAAATATAAATTCAAGTTTTGATTCACTCAAACACAAACTCAAAAAGATTATTATCTCAAATTATAACTCAAATGTACACAACAAAACACAAACTCAAGTTACAACTTTAACTCAAATTATAACTCAAACTCAATTTAAGATCTTCACTCAAGAATACCTAACTCAAAAATGTAAAAGAACAACCTCTTGCTTTTTCCGTTACAAAAGCCAGATGGAAACCATCAGTGTTGCTGTTGCAATAAATTTTGCTCTTCCAGTATTGATTTCATGTTTACCTTTGAAGAGAAAATTTTTCTTTGGGTTTTGTATTTGAAAATAAGATGAAGCCATTTTTATCCTCAACATTCAACAACTATACGACGAAAGATAAACATGAGGAAGAAAAAAGAAAAAAAACAACTGCGTTTTTTCTTTTCCAGAAAAAAGAAAACCACTTCTTTTTTTATTTTTAAGAAAAACCAACCCCTCTGTATTTTTGGATGACAAAATTAGGAAGAAGACCATTTGGTCCCTCACATTGTAAATATATAAATGACGAAAGTCCAGAATTGACTTGCAAAACCTGAAAAAACTGATGGAGTAACCTTTGAAGGATGGACACGGAGAGGCGTCTCCAATATACAGATCATATTCAAGGAAATGGCTGGTCATTTGTGGATAAAATGAGAACGAAAGGTACAGTGGCAATAGAAAAAGAAAGTCAATGATGGTTGACGGAGGGGTGGATGGAGGAAGACAATGGCTGTGTTTAGAATTGATATCGTTTTTTATTTTTTATATTTTTTAAAAAAAAATGAGAACGTTGCATTTGACGTAATAAAGATAAAAAATATAAATTAAAATAATTTTTTAATTTAGTGTAAAATGATAGAGAAATAAAAAATAACTTTTAGTCGTTTTTTATTTTTTATTTTTATTTTCTCCTCTCTTGAGATAAAAAACATTTTCATACAAAAAATAAAATCCGCTAATTGCATTTTAATTGCTAATTTTTTTAAGTTGAGTTGAGTTGATGTGGCAAATTGTGATTAGGGGACAACCAAGAAGGGACAACATATTTGAACTCTAGATTGAATTGTGAGCATACTTAAAGACCTCATTCATTTTACCGATTCAAGTTTTGTTACTGTAAAAAGCTTTAAAAAACAGTCACATCTAACTTTTTTACTACAGTAAAAAGCTCTCACATAAAGTCACATCTCAACTCAAATTAAAAACTTGAATCAACGAACTAAATAAACCCTAAATTCGTGTTTAATAAGCATTTAATATGAATTATATTCTCTATTTTAAATTGAGTTAAACTGTCTAACTTAATGTGTTTAGTATGAGAATTTGTGTCATGGTTCGAATCATAGTTCGTGACTCGTTACAATATTTTCTCTCACAAAAAACACATGTAAACCGATAAGAGTTCTGAATCACGGTTCTGAATTCGCGAATCAAACATCCACTTAACTCTCTTAAAGTTCAGCCGTTCAAACTATTTTTAAACAGTAAAAATGTGTCAACACCAAAAGGTAAATCCAATATATTTTGACAATAATTACAAAAAAAAATCCAAAAAAAAGGGTATAAAAATAGTATATATTTTAGCAAAATAAAAAATAGCATAGTTTGACATATTGTAGTTTGTGTTTCCAACTAGTGTGATCATATAGATTCATGATCCGTTTAGTTTATTGATTTGAGTGTTTAGTTTAAATTGATATATAATTTTATATGAGAATTTTTTACTATAATAAAAAAGTTAAATATGATTATTTTTATAATAAAATTTGAATTGGTGAAATAAACAGGATCTCAATAAACAAAACTAGTTATGGTCACACATGTGTATTAACACACGGCCATAAGTCTCAATACTCAGACGCACGATCAAATTCGGTGGATGTTGCACCGATCAGAACCGTTTAAGTACGTGTGGGTCCCACACCCAACCACAGGAAAACGAATCCGATACGATGATGGACGGCCGAGCAGACGGCCGGTGGGCGGTGGAAGATCAGATCTGGGTCTCTCTGTGTATTTGTGTCTCGTCTTTCCCGCACAAATAAAAATCACGGATAGAGAGAAAAGAAAATAAAAATATAGGGGTTGTTCTTTTGCAATAAAACTCAGAAAAAGTTTAAAACTCAAGTTACAACTTTAAAACTCAAGTTACAACTTTATTCAAGTTCACGTTCTTTTAAATTCCAATTTTATTCAATTTTACTCAACTTTATTCAAGTTATAACTTCAACTCAAGTTATAATTCAAATTTAACTCAAAAATTACACTAAGTCACGCTCCAAAAGAACAATCCCATAGAAATTAGAGCCTACGACACCCAAAAAAGCGGGTTTGCCCGACCCGAACCCTCAGGATCGCGCGGATTTCGACACGTGGAACGCACGCTTATAATCGGATGCAAACCTATTTATATTCCACTCTTTATTCTCATTTTCTGTTCCGCTCTCTCTCTCTCTCTCTCTCCCAAATCGTCGATCTGTTTCTCACTCATCATCTCCCCAAACCCTAGACCCTTCCGGTCCTTCTCCGTCCCAATTTGGCTATTCGACTCCTCGGTGCCTTCGATTTTCTCTCCCTGTAGAAATTTTCCTTTCCGTTTTCCTCGTGAGACTTCGTCTTCTTCGGATCGGTGACGTCTGTAAGGGGGATTTCGTCGGAGGTTGAAGGGGAGAGGAATCTTCTGGAGGGAACAAACATGGCGACTTCGACGAGCGCCGTCTACGTCAGCGTTATCGAGGATGTCATCAGCAAGGTCCGCGACGAGTTCATCAACAACGGCCCTGGAGAAGACGTTCTCAAGGAGCTTCAAGGAGTAATTTTAAAAATCCCCTTTCAAGTTCTATTTCTTCATGATTAATTTTCGTTTCCTATTTTTGTAGTTTTAAATGCTCGTCGGCGGTTTTTTCTTTCTCTTTTTTTTTTTTTGGGATGTTGAAGTGATTAGGAGTTCTGTAGTGGACTGGTTCGGAATTGGATCTTTTGTTTAGGGTTTTTGAGATTCGGATGAGATTTGAAAGCTTAAGCAATATTTTAGCTGAAATTGTTTCTTTTTGGGAAATTTCAGATGTGGGAGGCGAAAATGATGCACGCGGGTGTAGTAAATTCTCCCATAGAGAGGTCCGGGGCAGCAAAGCCCACACCTGGTGGTCCAATCACCCCAGTTCATGATCTTAATGTACCCTATGAGGGGACCGAGGAGTACGAAACTCCAACAGCCGATATGCTTTTTCCTCCGGTGAGTCTGATTCTATGATTTTCTGGTAGTTTTCTGTTCGGTTTTGATTTTGGTAGTTGAAGTGATTTCTTTGAAATGCAGACACCGTTGCAGACTCCCATTCAAACACCTTTACCGGGAACTGCAGACATTTATAATATTCCCACTGGGCCTACTGACTATCCTGCGTCTGGAAATGAGACCCCTAGTGGCGGCGGCGGTGGCGGAGGTGGCGGTGGTAATACTGATATGAAAGGTGGAAGACCTAGCCCATACATGGTAAACTCCAGATGGTTTGCGTTTATTCAGTGTGTGTTTTCATTGAGAAAGGGCTCAACATTTGTATACTCTTATATGAGTATATGCTGCTCTTTTTTTTTTTTTTTTTTTTTTCTGAACTGCAAAATGGAACTGGGACTTAGGCTGAGAGTGGTTTAACTTCGTTAATTTCAGTTTCTTTGGTGGCTTAAAAATAATGTGTGATCATATTGTTTGTATTGTTGCAGCAACCTCCTTCCCCTTGGATGAGCCAGCGGCCTTCACTTGATGTCAACATTGGTAAGCATAGTTGCATAGAACGACAATTTCTGTTTGCAACGGTGCTGTAGTAATTAACGTTGTATTGTTGTAGCTTATGTGGAAGGGCGGGATGAGGTGGACAGAGGGACCTCTCATCAACCCCCCACACAGGTAAACCTTGTTGTATATTCATAAGAAATTGTGGAAAAATGAATGTTTCTGATTGGGAGAAAACGCAATGTTAAAGAGTTGTAGATGGTTAAGCTGTACATGCCTCCATCCAAAGTCACATTTCTTAATTGTTCTACTTGGATTTATAATCTCATATGAAGATGATATCGATTTGTTTTCTTTGTGGTTAATATTGTATCTTATCTTGGATAAATTCCAGGACTTCTTCATGCCGCCTTCCGGCAAGAGAAAACGTGATGAACTGCCTTCGCAGTATCAAGCTGGTGGATTTCTCCCCCAACAAGACGGAGCTGGAGATGTTGCCCCTGAAGTTTTTGAGATTGAGGTTTGTACTTTACATGTTTTCCACCCTTTATATGAGGAGGTTTTAGACATTCTGCCAGTGTCATCCAAGTTTCCATGTGCCCATCATTTGAAGATGTTGCCACCATCAATATCAGCTTCCATTTACGACATTTAAGACGATCTGTCTTTCATTGTTGGATCATTCTTTCGGTACAAGTACTGTTTGTTGACAGTAACCGCTACACATCATGTTTGTGTTCTTGTATTTGTTTGTTGAGGTGCATTTTAATATCATTAATGGCACGGGATGTATAAAGAACCTAGATAGCCAAATAAGACATTTATGGTTTCTTATAGCTAAAAATATAACGGAAACTTCAGGCAATAATGGTTTTTAATGGATAGAATAGCAGGAAAACTGTAACAAAACTCTCTTTTCAATAGCTCGTTGGATCAAAATTATCCTGGACCGTTGTGAATCTAGAATTGGGATGGTTTCTTCTAGCTAAAAATATAACGGAAACTTCAGGCAATAATGGCTTTTAATGGATAGGATAGCAGGAAAACTGTAACAAAACTCTTTTCTCAATAGCTCGTTGGATCAAAATTATCCCGGACCTTTGTCAATCTAGAATTGTGGGTTAATAGTGATAGTATAAATTATTATTATTATTATTATTATTTATTATTTATTTTTTTATTTTTGCCTCCTTATCATGCACTATGTAAGTACAACAACTTAAGCTCTAAACTTCCATGGCTTTATTTTTAGGAATTCAAGTTTCCTTATAATATGGACTGACACTTTCAATACTAGGTTACTTACTAGCAGCACTTATCAGCTTATTACCTTTCAGGTAATTGGAGGAAGCACTTCAGATGGCACACGTGGAAATAGTGAGATATTGGCAAGTGTATTGGGGGTATCCTCAAAGATTCCTCAACTTGATGGGCCCATTCCTGATCCTTATGATGATGTACTTTCTACTCCCAATGTAAGTGCATTCGATGAATATTTCATGTTTCATTTCGGGGTGCTTTTCAACTCTCTTAAAAAGCTATGTATGCATCTGGATTCTGGCATGTAGAGATACTTTTGTTTATCCCATACATATTTCTCATTTGTCCAACGTTTGATATTCCTTGTTTTATGGTTTTTAGATTGAATAGTTTCGATGGTTTCTTGTAAGATTATCTTGATTATTTTCCCTTGAATTTTTGCCCTTACACGATAGTGGATTTATGTCAAAATAATTTAGGTTGTAGATTTTTCTTACAGAGATTGAATCATGTCCTTGACTTGTTTATCTTCGTCTTAAAACTTTTCAAAATAATTGTCTTCGTCTTAGGTTGGGATCTTAGTCAAATGGTCTCCTTGATTTTATTATTATTATTATTTTTTTAAGCCTAAAAGGACGAACTTGTATATTGATAGTGAACAAGATGTTCCCATATGGGATGAGTTGAGTACTTGAATTCCAAATATGTCAGATTTATTGTGAGCTTGATTGATTTTCTGGTTGCTGCCGGTCAATTTAATTCTAGCTAGGATGATAAAGAAAATTCCAATTAACAGTCCTGGATCCTTTTTTTTTTTTGGTTTGTGTGTGTGGATGCAAATCCCATCATACTTATGAGCTGCATTACTGTGTTTACGTTGTTTGACCCGATAATATGCTGTCCCCTTTCGTTATGTGTTCCTCTCCCATTACCATCCCATTCGTTTATTGAAAACTTTGTCAGTAACTTATTGTGCTTTCTACATGTACCTACAGATATACAACTATCAAGGAGTCTTCAATGAAGATTACAACATAGCAAACACACCTGCTCCGAATGGTAAATATCTTAATAAAAAATGTTGGAAATAATTCTGATTACCTAAAAAATGTTGAAAGTAATTCTGATTGAAAGTAATTCTGATTACCTTTAAATGAATAACATTGTTCTAGATGTCTACTAAGATTTGATATTGAAGCCACTTTTTCTTTCAGACCTTCCAGCTGGCACTCCTGCTATTCCTGCTCCAAATGATGTTGGAGAGGATGATGATGATGAGCCCCCGTTGAATGAAAATGATGACGATGAGTTGGATGATATAGACCAAGGAGAGGAGCTAAACACACAACATTTAGTTTTGGCTCAGTTCGACAAGGTCTCTTTTTGTTACTTTGCATTGTTGGTTTCAATTGAGTTTCTTTTTTCCCCCTTTAAGTTGAACTCCTCAAAAAACTTGCATAAATTTGAGCTGTGTATTTGGCTGGGCAGGTAACCCGCACCAAGAGCAGGTGGAAATGCACGCTGAAGGATGGCATTATGCGCATAAACAATAAGGATATTCTCTTTAATAAGGTAAACAATGTCGTCCAATATTGTTGCTATTGTCTCGTGCGTTTTTGTTACACCATCCTAAGCCTCAAGACTTCTTGCTGAAATGCTGCCAAATTTCTGCAGGCAACGGGGGAATTTGACTTCTGATTTGCCTGAGAATTATCTATTTTGCAAATTTAGTGGCAGTGGCCTAAGAAGAGCAAGTCAAGAGGTGCCGTCGGGTGTTTCGTGAATTTTCCTTATTGATTATTATTAAGTGAAAGCTTGAGGGAAAAGAACAGCATGCTTAGTACTTAAAAAAAAAAAAAAAAGATGGGACTGGACGTTGGCTTGTTGTACATAACGGATGAGAGCGTTTTCGGCCTTAAAAATGGATGGTCGCTCGAGGCATTTCTAGATGTTGCAATTCTGTAGTGGAATATATGATTCCATCGACTTTGTATACTTGGACCTTTTTTTTGGTTAATTTATGAATTTGAATTAGTTATCTCTATTTTATGTTTCCTGTTTATTCTGTCTAACCTCCCAGAGCTCTTCCTTTAATCTTCACGACTTTTACAACTTATATAGGTTCTTTATTTTTTTTTAGTTGTTTTGAGACTTTAAAACTTCCGTAAGCAGTCTGCTCTCTTCGGGCATTCTCTTCTCTTTGTTCCTGCAGGCTATGAGTTTCCTTATCATTATACCAATTTCTTCTCTTCTTCTGTTTGGTATGTGTTTTTTCTGTTTTTCTTGGCTAAAATCATCATCTGATAAACGTGCGACGTAGTCACTTGCCTAAAGAATTCATAACGACTAAAAGGCATAAAGAATCCAATTGGAAATGAAAACATTACATACCAATTCTGAATACAGTTCGTTACATAGAACTGATCATGAAACCGGCAGAGTTAAAAAAATCATTGAGCAGGGTTCACGATCATGCACTGCGACTGAAAGAAACTAAAGAGAGAAGAAGGATCTGCGAACGTAGCCGCCTCCTGGCGTTGCCATCTGCTTTCACGTGAACCTCCATTGTCTGTCTTGTCGGCCGTTCCATCTTCTTGTTGTTCGTTACTCTGATCACGTCCACACGTCGACTTCTCACATTTGTGGCAAAAGAACAAGTGGCGACAACAATGGAAATGCCCTGGAAGTATCACCGGCAGGAAGGACATTGGCCGCAGCAGGGGCAGGGGCAGGGGCAGAGAATGTCATCTAATCAAGCAGAAGAGACGCTGACGCTTGAGTATATATATGAATAAATCACCTTGGCTTTGGGTTCTGTCTGAAGTATATATATTTGGCTTAGAAGGTCTAAGTAAGATCTAAGGAAAAGATTAATATATGAATAAATCAACTGAAAGGTTAAGGAGGGGAGATAATTAGAGCTTGGAGATATTCTTTTTTTCAGGATAGGTTCCACAGCGTTAGCCTATCTTTTTTTTTTTTTTTTTTTTTGGACGTTATCAAAAGGGCCCAATCCTTGAAGGTTTTATCTCTTAGACAAGAAGCGTATGACTGAATATATTAACAGATAAAGATATATGAGAGCAATTTCAAACACTCTAAATGATAGAGAAAAAAAAAAATTCACGTTTAATCCCTGTAAAGTGTAACGGAGCACTCGACCCCATGATCCTAACGCAACCCGGAAATATTCTAATAAATCTTTGGGGAGAATCCAGAACAAGCCCTTTGATACCTTCACAAGCGTGATCAAGCTTAATTAAAGAAAAAAACATTATTTAAATTACTTAAATACCGTCACAAACGTGATCACCGTATGTCCTTGTTTTTCATTAACCTGCACTGTGTTCTGTCCACAAAAAGAAAAAAGAAAAAAAAAACTTGCCAAAAAATTCAGGCAAAGCACACGCTTGGCCAAGAAATCAGAGATAGAAAACACATAATATTCAACACACATAGTACTTCAATTTAAGAGTTCATAAACACCATAACTAAACACATGATATTAAACACACGTAGTACTTTAGTTTAGAGTTCACAAACACCACTGATAAACATAATATTAAACACACATAGTTCTTCAATTTAAGAGTTCATAAAACATAATGTTGGCGATGAAAAACTTTTTTTAGCTGAAGTAAACATGTAATACTTTTAAGTTATTTTTGATATAATTTTTTAAATTATTAAATTAAATTGTAATATTCTGTGGGTGGTAAAGTTAGAATAACAAAACTCAATAAGTAACGCGTTTGGTTGTCGAGTTTATAAACTAAATATGTTAATTCAACCGAGTTTCTTATGGTGTCTTCCCCTCACTGGCGCTGCTGCTGCTGGTACAAGGTTCTCCCGAAGTCATATCAATCATGTTCTTTGATTTCTTGGCCAAGCGAGCAACCGGTGGGTGGCGAGCAACCTCCAAAAGATAAATACAAGTGTATTTTCTATTTTTTCTTGAGTTACAAATACACTAGTATTTATTTCTTAAAGGTTGCTCGCCACCCGCCGGTTGCTCGCCACCAGCCTGATCTGCCATGATAACTGAAGAACAAAAAAGAAAAAGATGAAGGAGAAAGAAGAGACCATCGAAAGAGAAACAAGAAGAAGATAAACAGAGTGAGCAAAGATGCGGGAGAGTAAAATGAAATTGTGGGTTGATATGGAATGTTGGTACGTATATATAGGATAGGCTATATTGAAAATTGAAAATTGAAATGATGGGTTGTTAGAGAAAGGGTCATGGGATGCACAAGGAACCGGTAATTGCCCACTCTCTCTGAGTGTTTTTTTTTTCAGGAATTCTGTCACGAAAGGGTCATGGGATGCACAAGGAACCGGTAATTGCCCACTCTCTCTGAGTGTTTTTTTTTTCAGGAATTCTGTCACGAAAGGGTCATGGGATGCACAAGGAACCGGTAATTGCCCACTCTCTCTGAAGAAAAGAGTTTTTTTTTTTGGGTCAAATTATTTATTATAATCTATAAATCTCTTCTCATATGTCTTTTTTCTGTCAAGACATGAAGAGGTAAGAACCACACACTCTTAATGGGCGTTTGGTATGCTATGAAGTATGAATCATATTTTCAAAAAAATGATGGAGGGTAATATGATTTTTAAGAATAATATATTACTGTGTTTAGTTTCATACAACTTTCATAAATTCCCAAGAATATTACATTACTATGTTTAGTTATGCATGAGAATGTTATGAATTAAAAAATATATATTATTTTTAAATGAATTACAATTAGCACTAATATTTTAAAAAATATAAAATACAACACAACAAGTAGTTCATAATATTATCAAATAATAGAGAACATATTAAATAATAGAGAACAAGTAGTCCATAAAATTCTCTATACTCAAAAGTTCTTACAAAAGTTCTAAATATGAGAACATATACTCGAATAAGGTTCCAAACCTGAAATTAAAAGTTGTAAATCTATGTAGGAATATGAGAACATAAAATCCTATTTTTTTTATCATGAGCTAATATATGTAAGAATATAGCTACCAATTCTTCAACATCCATATTTTTTGTTCCCCTCAAATTGTCAATGGTTCTAAGGTAGTTACATAGGATAGTAAATGTTCTCCTATTCATACGAGTGCTTTCAAGACATACTAAGTAGTCACTCTCATGTATCAATCGATGGTAATTTAGTTGGCGTATATGATGTCGGCGATAAGAACTCTCATCCCAACTATTTCTACGCAAACGTCTCTTACTAATAATTACAAATATCATAAGCATGAACAAAAATGTCATTTCATTTAACATCTCCATATATTGAACCAAAATAGCCACAATTCTTTTTTTTTTTTTTTTTGTTCCAATGGAAGAACATCCATATCTGCTCATCGATGGAAAAAAAAGAAATAAGCATACTTCTACAGAACCAAATCCACAGAACATACATAACCAAACATAAGGTTGCTAGCTTTGAACCATAAGCATACTTCTCATATTACAATAGTATTAGCTTTGAACCATAAGCATACTTCTCATATTACAATAGTATTAGCTTTGAACCATAAGCATACTTCTCATGTTCTGTTGATTAATTTTCATTTAGTTTTTAAACCGTTTGCTTTGTAGCTACTAGCTTGTTCTTCAATAGAATCCCATTTACCAATAAAACAAGTTGATAATTAACAGAAAAAAAATTAATAAAAAGAACATGCACACTCCAAAATCTTAGAAAACACGTGACTTATCATAAAAATACATTAGGCGTGAGAAATTGACCATGTGTCAACAGCTAGATTAATATCCTTAACATATATATATATATATATATGTTTACGTATATGTAACATCTAGAATATCCATGTAGCATTAAAAGTAGTACTGGTGGCCGTTCGCCAGAAATCGTGGCTAGAAATCGACCATAGCTCCAGAAACCCATCGCCAGAAATCGTGGCCAAAAAAGGATGAAAAAATCGTGGCCGCTCTGGTTCAAACCCAGATGCAATTTAACAGAAAAAACTTTCAAGTTATGGTTCAAACCCAGATGTGCCGATGCCGACGACGTTCAAATCGAAAAGTTCAGATCAAAAATTTTTCACAGAAAAAAGAGAAAAAAGGAATCATACTCTGGTGGTGGCGGCAGAGGAAAGTCCGGCAACGGAGTGGTGGATCGGAAGGCGGCGGCGGCGTCCTCGACGGAAGCGGTGTTGGGTCTGGACGAGAGAGAGGTTGGGTTTGGACGAGAGAGAGAGATGGGTGAGATGGGTGGGTGAGAGAAATGGACGAGAGAGATGTTGTTTCCCGTAAATATTACTTTCATGGGAAAGTAAATAACATTACCAGGTGGATTTAGGATTATCTTAAAATATAATAATATAAAATTTATAAATTTTACTTTTTTAATTATTAAAAATATTTAATAATTATATTAAATATGAGAATTTAAAATATTTTTATTCTCACTCTTATAATTACCTCATACCAAATGTCCTAAATGAGTTCTTCTGACAAATAAAATTTTATGTCTGTCTCTATCAAAAGAAAAAAACGGTCCCATGTTTGTATATAACTTCGGTGTTGCAGTGATTTTAACAACAGAATAGGAAAAATTGCCATACTAGTCCATCTACACCTACATTTATTAAACGTTTAAAATTTAATATTACAAATTTATTTATCCTTTTTACATCTTATATATATTGATTTTTTTTTCTTCAAAGGATAAATAAATTTAATATTTTTTTTTATAAAGACAGACATGAAACTTTGTTTCGTTGAGCTAAAAGAGAAAATGGGACTTTGTTCTTTGGTTGTTTCTTTAATTCTGTATTGTCTTCTTTCTTGTTGATTTAGGGTTTGTTTAGTTCCTTAATTTAAATTTTTAATTTGAGTTAAGATGTGACTTTATGTGAGAACTTTTTATTGTAATAAAAAAATTAAATGTGACTATTTTTTAAAATTTTTTTACTGTAATAAAACTCAAATTCTAAACTCTAATCGAAAATAAACGACCTTATTGTTTGGTCATTACCTGCCTTTTGTTTTTTTTTTTTTCATGGGTCATGAGAGTTAAACA